TATCGGTCAAAAGTGATGATCATTAACATTGACATAGATAGTCCATACGAGAAGAATCCTATCCATAATTTGAAGCGGAAGAGATGAGCGGAAAATCTCTCTTCTTTCTCTTCCAGATTTAACTCGTGTACACGCAGTGGCATTATAAATAAACCAACAAAAAGATCAGCGACAGCCAGACAAGCAACGAAATATTTATTTGGTTGATGAAGACTTCTTTCTCTCCAGGTTGCGATTAAAACCAACGCGTTAGCCAAAATTGTGAAAGTAGCGATAAAGATGATTATAATTTTTTCTGATAGTCTCAGCTGGTCGATGGATTCCATAAATTCTAAATATTCACTCGTTGCTGGATTTGTATCATTAAACATCGCACTTGTGTTGTTGTACATCGCACACGCTCCTGTTAGCAGAAAATAGAATATAGCTACATATATGCATGAAACGCGAGGTAAAAAACAAGATTATATTATTGTGAGACAAATTTAAGTTTTATATATATAAGCTGTCGCAGGACAAACCAACATTAATTATTTCCCGCGCAAAGATATAGAAATATATAGTTTTATCCTAAGTTAATTACAAAATATTATACGTATACACTTTATGGTATTTCAGCGTTTTTCAATCACTATAATTTATAATAAATACGTTTTCCATTGCCAGTGGACGACGATGTTTTTAATTTTGAATAGAAAGGATTTATATTTATTATGTTCTGAAATTGACAGTCTAGAAATTTTCTTTTAATATACGCTTCAATCCATTAGTACCACGTCAAAATTAGATTATAGTCTTACTCTTTCGCTGTTAAACGATTCCCCGTGTAATTTATGATGTTTGTCGATCTTCTCTTCTGTGTATTTTTGTTTTCCAAGCGCGCCTTCAAGAAGCGGCATTCTAAATTTTGTTATTTCGGAGTTATTGATCTGTTATTAAGCATGCTAGTATGTAAATAAGTCTTTCGGAGGCCTTTTTGAGTTCATTTATTACCAACAACTTTTAATGTATCATGATCATTTCAATATATTAACTTATTGCATGACTAAACAGAACTCAAGTATACTCGACAAGTTTAATATATTACTTGCAGGCGCCTGAAGTGCATCGTAGACTTCAAAGTATTGCTGTACACAACCTATTTAACAATCTCAATCCCTTTGTAGCCTAGTAACATACAAACTAAAAGTTATCACATAAATTATATTATATTTTTAAACGTATCTACCAAATACTTCCTTTCTTTCGTAATTTGAAAATTTTTTTTTAAACCCAGCGTTGATATGTTATTAATTTAAACAGTTTAACTTTTGACTTGTTTGAAATTTTACAATTGATTTTTACAAAACGTTCCGACTTCGGTTATGTTCGGTTCAATTTTGGAAATCAAGTTAATATGGGCGGAGCTTTTCAACAATAATCGACTGCACAGAAAATCCAAAATCCATCAATCTAACCGAATAAACGTTTCGGAAAAGTCGAACGTCGCGTTACAACGAATGTTATATATAAAATGAGTTCACGAGTATTAGTTTTTGGGTAATGTAGATAATTAAACCTTTTAAGCCTGATTCTGCGGGCAAAATTTTAAGCGAAATACGAAATATTTCGCCGTGGTTGCAATTGAAAAGGAGTAAGCGAAATTTTTCGCATTTTACTGAGAGAAAGGGCCCGTGAAATTATAGGCGCTTATTTTAATAACAGATGCACGTTATTAGGCTGGCTTAAGCCGCCTCGATAATAATAATTCGTGCATAAATTTAGCTCAGAAAATATTTTAATTTTTCGTTAGGAACACTGATAAAAAGATCTGAACTAGCTACATTGGTATGCCGAAAAAAACTTTAGACGTCAGTTTTGGCGGTGCACATTATTATTTGGAAGAGGTGTTTGAAAGCTTTTCTGTATGTTTGATCCAGCCAAGCATAAATTATTGGATTGCAGAGACTGTTAGACTTGTGGAGTATGCCTATTGTCGTTGCAATTATTCTCAAACGAAGCCAGTATTTTAATGACCTGTTATCGCTTTGGCTAAAATTTGGGTAATAAAAGTACAAAAAATTCCAAATAAAGTGTGAACCGCAGCAAAATATGAACACTCCTACGACAAGCAACAGCATTTTAATTACTTTTAAATCTTGGCGAAGAGCAGTTCGTTGATTGTAAACATTAGTAGATTGGCCAAGTCTACCAGTTTGTAGCATTTTTTGCCGTTCACGAGCAATACAAAAAATACGAGAGTACGTAACTAGTATCATTACGGTTGGGGAGAAAAAGCCGACAACGATGAAATATATCATAACTCCCTTAAACGTGGTCTCGTCGCGCATGATCAGAGTTTCGTCCGATGCGGAATGAGGAGTGGTGAGGAAGGTTGCGCTTGCAATTATAAACGTGAAATTACCAAAAATTATTTTCAAGCATTTTGAGGTTGTCATTCGTGATTTATACTGAAGAGGTTTGCTGATTTTAAGATATCGGTCAAAAGTGATGATCATTAACATTGACATAGATAGTCCATACGAGAAGAATCCTATCCATAAATTGAAGCGTAAGAGATGAGCGGAAAATCTCTCTTCTTTCCCTTCCAGATTTAACTCGTGTACACGCAATGGCATTGCAAATAAACCAACAAAAAGATCAGCGACAGCCAGACAAGCGACAAAATATTTATTTGGTTGATGAAGACTTTTTTCTCTCCAGGTTGCGATTAAAACCAACGCGTTAGCCAAAATTGTGAAAGCAGCGATAAAGATCATTATAATTTTTTCTGATAGTCTCAGCTGCTCGGTAGATTTAGCAAACGCTAAATATTCACTCCTTGCTGGATTTGTATCATTAAACATCGCACTTGTGTTGTTGAACATCGCACACGCTCCTGTTGGCAGAAAATGGAATATAGCTACATGTATATATGATGAAACGCGAGGTAAAAAACAAGATTATAGCTATTATTGTGAGGCAAATTTAACTTTTTATAAGCTGTCGCAGTACAAACCAATATTAATAGTTTCCCGCGCACAGATATACAGAAATATATAGTTAAAATATTATACGTATATACACTGTATTTCAGCGTTTTTCAGTCACTATATATAAAAACACGATTTCAAGTGGACGACGATGTTTTTAATTTTGAATAGAAAGGATGATATTATTTATGCTCTGAAATTGACAGTCTTGAAATTTTTTTTTAATATGCGCTTCAATCCATTAGTAGCACGTCAAAATTATCAAATTCTTACGTTCTTGCTGTGAAACGATTCCCCGTGTGATTTGTGATGTTTGTCGATCTTCTCTTCTGTGTGTTTTTGCTTTACAAACGCGCGCCTTCAAGAAGCGGAAAGTTTTGTTCTTTCGGAGTTATTGATCTGTTATTAATCATGCAAGTATATATAGCTAAACAAGTCCATTGAGTTTATTTATTACCTACAACTTTTAATATATCATGATCATTTCAATATATTAATTTATTTCGTGACTAAACATGCAGAACTAAGTATATTTGACAAGTTTAATTATTGCTGTACATGCAGGCGTTTTGAGTGCATCGTAGAGTTCAAAATACTGTAGTATACAACCTATTTAACAATCTTAATCCCTTTGTATATATTAACGTACTAACTAAAAGTTATCACATCAGTAAATTCTATTGTATTCCTAAACGTATATCTACCAAATACTTGCTTTTCTTAATATGATAAAAAGTAATATATGAAAAACTTGTGTTGATTTGCTTTTAAATTAAAATTTAACTTTTGACTCGTTTTAATTTTTACAATTTCACCTGTTCTTTATTCGTTAGATTAAAAACATGTCTGTGCATGCATGAATAATTTCAAAAGCGATGTGCTAGCGATCAGACCAAAACGCGGTTAAAACCTTGATTTTGTAGCACTTCACTTGATGCAGGTAAATTTTATAAAGCTTTTTTTAAAGGGTCTTAATTTCTAGTGGAATCATACACAACTCAATTCAAGCCAGGAAAAGTTGAGAAAAATTAGTCAACTATTGGTTCTCCGACAGGAATCGAATCTAGGCTCAACTATTCCTGGATTGAATTGAGTTGTGTATGATTTAAAAACCCTTAGAATTTACCTACATCGATTGAAGTGCGATTTATTTAACAATTATTGGATGAGGTTGAGTGTGATATCGAAAATTATCAAGCCGAAGTTTGCACTACGAATAATTTTCAATGTCGTGTAGGTGGCAAGACAGTGAGAATTATCTGTAGGTTTTTAGCCAATCACAATCGAGATTGCGTTAGTAATGCATAATAATACAGTTTCATGTTTCCCTGACCCTTTTCGTCGTTTTTCATATAATTTTTTGACACTATCCTAGGGAAAGGTGGCTGAAGGACACAGGTAATAGAGAAGAGAGAAGCGGGCGAATTACTCTGGGCCCCCAATCTCCCCCTCGAAGGAATTCCAGCTCTATACACGCAACTGAGATGACTTTTCTTGTACTCCTTGTGCATGATTAGGCTCTTTTCGTATAAGAAATCCATATATATCTCCCTTTTCACAAGCAGACGGGGAATTGGGAATAGAGCCGTGACATCAATATGAAGTGTGCAATTGTTACAGAAATAATAATATATATAAAAGTATTACTTGACTATGATTGGTTGATTTCGGTGCGGTGTACATTTCGGTGTGGTGTACATTTCGGTTATATATATATATATATTATTAATAAGTAATACGACTCGTGCTATCTTCAGGTCTTTGAAAAACTCATTCGTGCATGTTTTTTCCAAATTGCACTCGAAACCTTTTTATTATTATGATGGTATATAAAGAGCACGAAATCAAAATTTTAATTTACAATTGACTGAAAAACGAATAGGTTTCTGAGTAGAAATAATATATAGAATTTTACTCAAAATGCCGAAGTCATGAAATGATGGAAATGATAATTGTCGAGAGTCTGGTCCTGGTTCAACTCAGTTCCAACCGAAATGGTGAATTAGACAAATTGGTCTATTATTTACTTCATCTGTTCCCCGGGAGTTGTAACTGAATTGTATTTGGGTCGCCATGTTGCTGTACTCTTGGGTTTTCGCGACAGACGAGTTGATGAAACAGGTGTTTAAAGGCTTTTCTGTACGTTTGATCAAGCCATGCATAAATCATTGGATTACACAGACTGTTAAACAGAGGAAGTATAACAATTGCTGTCTGGATTTTTCTTAAACGAAACCAATAGCTTAACGAGGTGTTATCGTAATCAATAAAACGTCTATAGTAAAGATACAGCAACCACCAAATAAAAAACGGACCCCAGCAAATTATAAACAGACCCACGACGAGAAAAAGCATTCTAATCACTTTCAAATCTTGGCGAAAGGCAGTTCGCTGATCCAGTACGTTGAACGTTTCGCCCAGTCCGCCATTTCGCAGTCTTTTTTGTCGTTTGTGAGCCACGGTGAAGATGAGAACGTACATAATTAGCATGATTATCGTGGGTACGAAAAACGAGACTATTGCTAATATGGTCTGGGTTTCTTTTACTTGCTTCTGAATGCTAGCCGACAGTTGTGTTGCATCGGACCCAGAACGAGGAACTGTGACATAAGTGGCAAGTGAAGAAGAGAAAATACAAATAACAAATATGATTTTTAATGATACAGAAGTTGTGATTCTTGATCGATACAGCAGTGGCTTGCTGATTTTGAGGTAACGATCAAAACTGATGATCGTCAGGGTATAAATCGATGCCGTTATCACTGAAGTATCGATCCACACCATGAAACGGTGAAGATGAATGGAAATGGATGCTTGCGTTTCATTCGTCAGGTACAGTTTATACAACCGTAGTGGTACCACAAACACACCAACCAAAAGATCGGCGAGAGCCAGGCATGCGATAAAATATTTATTTGGTTGATGAAGATCTCTCTCTCGCCATGTCGCAACCAAAACCAGTGTATTGCCAAGAATTGTGAAGATGATGATGACGATGTAAATAACTTTTTCTGCCAGCGCACGCTTTTCCTCGAACTGTGCTATTTTCATCCAGTCATTGGATGTCCATTCGCATAAGGTCCTCGGGACACATTCAGCAACCCTTGTCCCATTGGCACTTTGGTTGTACATCCCAGTGGCATTGGTTGATAGAGTCATCGTTCTCGTCATTGGCACTAGTACTATGAGTAATATATAACACGACATTTGTCAGACAGCTGGCAAACACAGCTGCATGCGCGAGATTAAAGTAACAATTTTAAGAGGAAACCTAAATAACTTAAAAAGCGCTTCCCTAAAAGTTCGATGCTCTGCTATAAAACCAAAATTTGAAACGGCCTGGGCAAATAAATTGTCTGATAACCTCTTTGTGTATTAAACAGACTGATTTTAAGGTAGTTTGGTTTTCCCAAAGTCGTCAATTCATGCAGGAATATTCAACCCTGATCTCAGCATTTAGGACAAAGTATAGCCGTAAACAGCAAGTTCATTTTGAATTTTCAGAACAAATGCTTCTAGTCTACAAATTTGGTGCATGATTTTCAAACATAAAGTAACTTGAGAGAAATTATGAACGAGAAAGTGCCATGCAAAAGTTTATCTTGATATGCGACTTGGAATGATATTCGTTGAACTAAAAATCTCTATTGCATGAATATAATATCTGATAAATAACATGCACCGATTTTAAATTGATGAATATTTATCCATGGCATTTATAATAAATATTGGAACTGTTGTCACAAATTGTTTGTCTGCTTTCATAAAGATTTCATTGTTCAAAATTCTGCGCTTCGTTTAATGGCATTAAAAAAATTAAATCATCGCTGACGAGTAGAAGGGACGTGAAAACAAGTTCGCTTGCCTCTTGTCCAAAATGTTAAACTAAATTCGATTTCTCGTTCAAAAAGAGAACATCATTGATGTCAAACACCGAGATAAACTTGCTGATAAAAATTATAAAGTTTGATTACCAATATAGGCACCACGGGCCAGTTGTTCAAGGCTAGATTAACGTTAACCCTGGGTAAATTTTAATCCAGTATTTTAGTTATGTGCTTCAAAACCACTGTTCATTTTGAAGCTTTAGGAAATATTACTTCTATCCAGAGGGTTAGCTAATCGGATTTTGAACATGCAACTGCCCCCACATCTATAAGTCATTTTCAACTAAACACTTCAATTTCTCTAATTCTTTTACTCACCTTCTGAATTGCAACAGCGAGCGAGTCACCAATCTGAGTCTAATTTGTTTCCTCAAACAGCACTGATCTCCACGTAATTATATCTGTCTCCGCGCGAAGATGATTTTAAAATGTTGACATTCAGAGCAGACAGGTTATACAGGGTTAGTTTACCCAATTAATTTCACGAACAGTGGGGTAATTATTAAATGAAAAACCTCAATATTCGGCAAACTTGCAACGATAACACATGTATCATAAAATTTTAGATATGAACCGGGAAATGAAGAATTGCAATATGCATATCACGTTATTCAACTGTTCAATCACAACTTGAATATGTAAAACACGAATAGAAACCCGATAAATTTATTTGCTTAAATCAATTGGCAATTGTAAAGAAATTATTCCAAATTCTCAAACGCCTTATTTACTGCAGTTGTCCCAAAAGAATTAAGATCTTTCAATAAGAATCGAACCAAATCCCGTGTTGTTACACGCAAGATTAGTTGGGTGGTTGCAATAAAATGGCTGCACATCGATCAGATTCTTTCGTATAACCTACTAAAAATACTCGAGAGTTATTTTGACAGCGGGGTGATGCTATATTCGCCTCAGTTTTCCAACCGACTTTTATGCATCAATTGTGTTTGCCTGTGTATTCAGCATTCAGCTAGGGCATGCAGATCGCTTTAAATTATAATAAAATTGATTTATACCGAAAGAAACTGTACTGTCGGAAACACAGCTGAAATAGCTCGAGTAGTTAGACAGCTGTATGCATAAGGAAGCTAAGTTCAAACACCGACCTACCTTGCCGATTTTGCAATATTGTAAGAGGCTGTTTACATCAATTAGGCCGGTTACTGAAGATTATTTCAGGATTTTGAATTACACTTTTATGAAACCGATTGGCCACATGGCCAGGAAGACTACGCCGTCTACACGAGTAACCCGACTGCAAGAATCAAGCATGTTAAAATGTTACTTGAAATGTCAAGCATGTTATAGTACTGATTTCAATAATTCAACTGAGTCATTTGATAATTCGATGAATCTCGACTGCATGTTATCATGAAAAAAGCCGTAATTCGAAGTCGTAATTAAAAGTTAATATTAATGCCAATTGCATATGAGTTATAAACTACAGTAATAGGCAGTGAACAGTAGTGCATTTTCACTGTGCAACTTGTTCACTTTTATCAGTTATACTGGCTGCGGTTAGCCAGCTCCGAGATCTGATTGGCTTGAAATTGCAATTGACTGCATGCATGGCTTCGAGTATGCTAATATTAAAATTGTAGTAAGATATATGCAAAAATCTTAAACTACGTGCACACGAGCGTCGTTTCGGAGCGTTTTCAAAATCTTTCCCCTATTTTATTGTTTAGACGCCTTGTCAACGCTTTCCAAGGAAAATATGCTAAATGTGTTAAATTAACTTTAACTTAAAACCGTTTTGGCACGAAAATTAACGAATGTGAATTGTGAAAACGCTCGAAAACTTTGCCGTGTGCACAAAGTCTTACTTTAGTTGTCTTAAGGCCCGTTCACACGATCCGATTTGTCGGATCCGATTGTATCGGTTCCGACAAATCGGATCGTGTGAACACCTATAAAGTTACTTTCCGACAGTCGGATCCGTCAGTCTAAAAAATCGGATGGAAATAGAACTTGCTCTATTTTCATCCGACAAGATCAAAGAAAGCCGACTAGCCCCAGACTTCTCACTCTCCATACTTCCCAAATTTAATTTGGCGCGAAAAATTAGATAACACAAATGGCTGCTGCTCCCGGATTGACTGATAGTTCTGGTGTTGTTGAAAACACGCCAACGACGGTGCAAGAACAGCAACCGAAAGCAAAAGGAAAGAGAAAAGACCAAGCAAGAAAAAGGACAGACGAAGAAACTGAAAAGCTTATTTCTCTGTGGAGCGAAAGGGAGCTTTTATTCGACACCAACAATCCCAATTATTTTCTTAGCTTCCTCGTCAGCCATTAAACCCATTGATTTAAACCTCATTTTGGGAATTTGTTTATGGTTGAAACACCTATACGCAGGCCACCTACCTCCCCCCTAAGCCCGTCAAAAAATTATCGGATCGTCTGAACAGTCAACCAAAAATCGGAACCGATACAATCGGATCCGACACAATCGGATCCGACAAATCGGATCGTGTGAACGGGCCTTTATTAATCCTATTTTTATTCCCTACGTACACTATACAGGGTGTCTCAAAAAAGTCCTACACTATTTTCATCCTTGGAATCATGCGAGGATTTGGTGAATATTTTTAACAATGTACTGCACACCGGACTGAGTATATTAATGCCGGTGAAGAAGATTCGCGTAAATTCGACAGATGCCCCGTGGATGACCGCACATTTAAAGTCTTTAATTCTGAATCGACAAAATGCCTTTCACAAACATGGCGCTGAGTCAAGGCAGTACAAATTTTATAGAAATACAGTAAACCGAGAAAGGAAAGTGATTAAAGCTAAATTTTATCAGTCTAAAGTGGAACATATGAAACAATACAATCCAAAAACGTGGTGGAATGAAGTTAAAAGGTTATGTGGCTCCAAGTCTTTTACTGACGATCTGATTAATCAAATCCAAGTCGAAGGAGTAGATAATTATTCTAGAGTGGATTTAGCAGACGCAATAAATAAAGCTTTCCTTGACCCATTAGAAGAATATCGATTACCCCATCCTTTAAATCGTCTACCTGTAGAAGAATCCCCGGTGTACCCTAAAGTGTCGGAGTTACAAGTCCAAGCAGTTCTAGCAAAGTTAAATCCATCAAAAGCTTGCGGTCTGGATGAAATTCTGAACTGGCTATTAAAAGAATATGCTATGCTCCTTGCGTTTCCTGTAAGTAAAATCATTAACTCTTCCTTTAAAGAAATGAAACTTCCATCTATTTGGAAGGTTGCAAATGTAATTCCACTGCCCAAGGTAAAACCTGTGGAAAATCTAAACAAACATTTGAGACCTACTATCTTTAACAGCATGTTTGTCAAAGGTTGCCGAAAATTTTGTGGTACAAGATTATTTAAAACCTGCAGTTCTAAGGATTCTGGACCCTAACCAATACGGAGCTGTACCCAAATCTTCAACGATCCACGCTCTCATCCATATGGTTTATGTTTGGACAAAAGGAACTGATGGAAATGGCGCCACTGTTAGGGCTATACTTTTCGACTACCGAAAGGCTTTTGATTTAATAGACCATCGAATACTTGTCGAGAAGCTTTGTGATTTGGACTTACCTAACTGTGTAGTAAATTGGATAATTGATTTTTTGTCCAACCGTTCTCAACGAACTAAACTTGCTGATAACTGTCTTTCTGAATGGGGCTCAGTTCCTTCCGGAGTCCCACAAGGAACAAAGTTGGAACGTGGTTATTTTTACTGCTAATAAATGATTTAGTTCTTAACAACGATATAAATGCCCTTTTGTGGAAGTACGTTGATGATACAACATCTTCAGAAATCGTAGAAAGGGGGTTTCCGAGTTATTCACAAAACATAGCTGATAACGTCGCCCAATGGTTTTCAAATAATAAACTGAAATTAAATGATGAAAAATGCAAAGAATTACGGATATGCTTTGCAAGAAACCAAGAAGACTTTCAACCGATTTATGTATACGGAAAAGAATTAGAAGTCGTTAGAAGTGCAAAAGTGCTGGGGGTCACAATAACTAGCGACCTATCGTGGAATGTTCACATAAATAATGTTATAAAGAAAGCAGCGAAACGGCTATACTTTCTTGTGCAATTGAAAAGAGCTAAACTATCTCGAAAAGATCTCGTGCTCTTTTACATTACATGCATTCGATCTGTTTTGACTTATGCAATCCCAGTATTCTTCTATGCTTTACCGAAGTACCTCCTAAATGAATTGGAACGTTTACAAAAACGGGCCTTATCAATTATCGACCCAGGAATAACGTATCATGAAGCCCTGTTTGTAAGCGAATATTCCCACCATTATGTCATAGGGTGAAAAAATATGTAGGGATTTTTTTTACCAAACTGTGAATGATAAACATAACAAGCTGAATAAACTTTTACCCCCGATTCATGAAGGAGCTCATCAATTAAGACAAAATAGGCATTTTAAAATCCCCAATTGGAGAACAAACCGTTTCAGAGATACTTTTATCATGGCCTCCGCCATAAACTATGGTCGTTAGACTTGGCGAATTTTTATCGGTATCTTAATAGTTAACGGGAACTTTTAAATATAGATTTTTAAATAGTTATATATAGATTGTTTGTAGTGTCTGTCAATATGTTTTCATTTTAGATTAGCTTGTAAATACGCAATTCAGTTCTCGAGCTGCCCATGTATTTTACAATTTTTACAATTACAATTACAATTACAAAGTTCAAGTCCCCCCTATTGAAATGAAGCTTTTGCTGGAATTTAAATGCATGATCAACGCAGTAGTGCATGTGTAAATAGCATAGTTATTAGGTTGAGGCATTCAAATAAAGCGTCTTGCTTTCAATTGGGTTTATCATAATAAATTATTAAGGCATGCAATTAGATTCTAACAAAGGCTTGATTTCAATAGAGGGGGCTTTTTTTGGGACACCCTGTATAAAAACACAACCTTAAAAATTCCCAGCGGCCTAGGATCTTTTGTTACTGAAAAAAGTATGAATAGCAAGTTTTTAATACACTCTATAAATTTAATCAATTCCTACTTGCCGTTAGCGGATTGGCTGTGAATAATTATGATAATGCATGCGTAATTAGATATGCGTGAGACAAAAATTTCTTACCTGAGTGCTTTTACTGTTTATTCCCTATACTGTGTATACAACATTTTGATTGCCTGAGTGGTTTGACCATAGTCCAGTAAAACTAATGACTTAAGCTTTGTCAAAGTCTTCGAAACTAACAACATTGACCGGCCAAACTCGAAGTCGTGAGATCGTTCAGGAAACGCACAATCCTTGCTAATTTCACTATAAAATGTACGGATATTACAAAATGACAGCGCCAAACTGTATAATGTCAACGATTTACGAAAGATTTTAGAGGGCTCGATCACGGATTAGGTATATGAATTTAATAATTATAGCTTATTAGGTGCATGGGCTTTGTATAATGTTTACTGTTAAATTATAAGAGGTGTAGAGGGGCTAGTTTTCATCTTTATTTTAACTTCATTTGGCCGGGAGTTCATTGAGGAAGGCATGCATGTATGCACAACGAACAACGGGTGCGGACTACGGTGAAATCTTTGTTCGTAAACTGAAGCTTATAGTTTATGCCATCACATTTCGTTGGTGCTAAATACAATTCAAATAATGGATAACAGCATGGCACTGAAGCCTAATGCAGTTTATCATTTAATTATCTTTTGATTAAGTTGCATTCAAGGCGACCAGAGTGCGACGTATAAACTCGGCGTGTAGACCACCAGCCACAGAGAAAAAAAAATTAGAATATTCCTAAGAAAGTACCTTCACCGTCGGAACCATAACTACGACGCATAATAACCGTATCTTTCTTTTCTACCCTGTTTATACATGAGCCGGGTTACCCTAAATTTAACAAAGCATGGTAAGATTTTGAGGTATTGAAATGAGTAAATAACATGATCCTGGTAGTCATACTAACACGAGCATGGATGTGCTTATTTGCGGTCTGAAAAACTTATTTTAATACTTCATAATTATTTCACGTTAGACCTCGGCTAACTAAACTCATGTGAACAGCCACGGAATTATGGGGCCGGAAATTAAACGGGGAAAATTCAGTCTGCTGGACTGCGACCTTTATCGTGTACGTTGACGTAACACTTACACGGATTTAAGTAACTGAATGTGATTGGCTCAAACGTATCAACGATAGATCAAGCATTTTGATTCGTTTAGTCGCTAATTATTGAATAAATTATTTTTGGAAATATCATAATTTTACACTGTTTGTTATGAGAACATGGCGTCGTAAATGCACAGCTACGATATAGCTGTTCACCGTTGGGAAACAGCCTTGCGGACTGTGTGCCCTACATTTAATTTAAAGGAATTGTATGCTGAGCAAACAGCTGGGGTTGAATGTGAAGTTGGAGTTGGTATTTCCAACAATTCGGGCAGCGCACTGACCAGTTCACGTATACTGGCAACGGATGTCGTAGCCTTTGTGAATGTCTGGGATGTGCTGGGCAAATTTGGCGCTGTAATACATGGCCGTTTGCGGTTCGGTTCTTCTTCTTCAAAGACTTGTCGCCTTTTGAGTTGTCCTTTTTCGTATATCTCTTTAAATTCCCTCACAATGTTGAGCAACTGAAGAGCGGCTCGTTTCCTTAGTTTATCGAGACACTGTCGAAAAATGTAAAGTGATGTCTCTAAAACATCAAATGGCAACTGTCGAAGAGCCTCACTAGCGTTAAATTTCGTCTTCCCGGATGCCAAATATCTTTTTATGGTTCGAGAGCACAGAATACAATTGCAATTAGGATTATTCGACGCCATGTGCGCTCCTGGCAAAGGCCAACATTTGCATTTTCGTATGCGGTGCGCCCGCTTTCGCCGTGTTTTGGGTCTTTCTCCAAGTATTTTGTCGATTACTTTGGCTATCCAATATCAGCAACAAGGAAAACAGTGTGAACGTGGCACATATTACCTGGACTTGCGCTAGACCTGGTCCAGGTCTAGGCATGAAGTGCAATTAAACGCGGCTTTAGATCTTTCTTGAATTAGTCAACTTGAATATTATATATGCACTGAATATGTAGTTGTAAACAGTAACTTTGTATTAGGGTTAAAAACATTTAGTTTTCTTGTTGAATAAACCAATAGACTTGCTTTCTATTTTGAACTTAACCAACTTTTAAGCTGAACGGGCTTGATACAACCGGACCCTGGTGGATAGTTTTAGAAACTAGGGATAGGACAGGCTGGGCAGCATAAGGGGAAAATTGCGAAACACAAGGCTTACGCGTCTAAAAACATTATATAGGGACGGCAAGTGTTCATTCAGTATCTATTTCAACAGTAAGCAAAAACTAACAAATCAAAAACCAGCAAGTTGTAATATGTCTTTCACCCCACAAAACAGCTAACCTATAAAATAATCATAGTAATAACTATTTTAATCATGCAGTAAAATTCCCACACAAACTAGACTCGCAAATATCTTTGAAATACAAAGAACTGAAAATCAGGAAGTATTTTTCAACATCTTTGGTAACCCATTACCAGCTATTACTCGTATTAGCTACTTATTCCTACAACCCAAAATAAGCACTATTTTAAATGTGACTTAAACTCAGTAAAGAGATATTCTAAAGTTTTGTATATTTATTTATTTGTTAGTATTTAGGTAAGTTCTAAGAGGCTGTTCCTTCATTTAATAAGCTATACAGATTTGCAGATAAGAAAGCGAAAACGATTTTTTTTATTTATTTTTCTATTATTCGCAAAAATAGGCATAAGACCACCTTAAAACCCCGCACTGTAAAAATTATCCGGGGGGTTAAAATTGTTCTAATTAAATTCTTTCAAAAAGAAGGCTAAATTCAGCTTTCATTTTTTGCAGGGTGAACACGACGGAAGAACTTTGCCACACAGGGTACGTCCTGGCGTAACTTCAACAACAGGCAAGTGGAAAGTTTATATTCGATATAGAAATTTCTGCTCTTGTAAAAAGGCTAATCAAAACTTTATCAATAATATTATTGATGTTCGACTCAGCCTCAATCCCTCGCTATGAATAAGGTCGTTTACTAACTTGCTTTGGTGCTTGATGAATGGCAAGCACAACTGCTCCTGTAGTAAAACTGAGTGAGTTTGACATGTATGCATAACTGCCGAGTTGATATTCATGCATTCATTGCTGTTGTAAAGCCGTTTCTCGTGCAAGTTCCTTCTTTCTGTTTCGATTCGACAGAACAAGCGACAAAAATCAAGATGCTTTAAAACTTATTATAATGTTGTTCTACCAATAAATACACATGCAAAAACCTTGACAAGATTTATCAACCATGCATGTGCATGACTCGTGCGGTCAACAATTCTGAAAATGGCGGATGTTCATTTACAAAAATATTTGCGATCGTGTATAGTGAAGTGAAACATCGTCTTTGAAAGATCATCATAAAACATGGGATTGCTTTCTTCATCATGTTAAATTGCAAATTACATCATTACTAATATTATGGACTCAACTTGTCTTTTCCCAGGCATATTTCCAGTTGAAATGCACATACGCCATCTTTTTCGTATAATCGTTGATTTAATTATAATTTATTACCATGCAGTGCATATTACATTACAGACTATTAAGTGATAATACAGATACAATCATACTAACTTCTTCTACGCATGCTCGTATATCTGACTGTAATTTTGTATTCGATGCCTCTACATTACGAATGACTAAACTTATATTAATCTAATATTCTTGTATGTTAATTTGCATGGTGACATCAATAAGTAAATTAACTTGTAGGCCACACCACGTAAGTATTTAATACTTACCCGTCATTTAAATATAAGTGATGTGTAAATGTCTTTTCAGGTAATTGCACTGATGAAGGCCCGGGTTAACGGACCGAAAGCTGTGCAGTATTAAAGACTTACGTGTTGTACCTACGAGCTAATTTACCTATATTAATCTATTACTAACATCACAAACTGTTCACTTTATCATCTAGTAACCATAATATTAAACCACTGGCGTAGCCAGCATCGATAATTGGGGGGGTCCATATTCATATATTCATGTAAACAGACTGTAAAGACAATTGATTTGAAAAGAAATTAATCCTGCGTATCACGAATATATGAATATGGAACCCCCCAATTATCGTTCTGGCTACGCCGCTGTATTAAACTGCTTCGTATATTAAGATTTACCAAGCCAAGGACAACAATAAGATATTAGGAATGCTTTTTGAGTTAGCCATTCTACAATTTCTACAGAAAAAAACATATATACTAGTATATCAGGTTTTGAAAGTTCAACTGTTTACATCTCTCTGAAAGCCAAATAAATACCAATTAATGTATTGACGTTTAGCAACAGTTGTGTATGCATTTAAATTTCTTGGCGTAAAAGGAAGTCTGCGGCTGCAAGGACAGAATTTCAGAAACGAGCGCATTCTTTTTACCGTAGCAACTACACGAAGAGAAAGCCTGGACTTATAGGTACACACGTGTTTACACAAGCACAAGGGAACGTTTTATTAACATAATATTATCAGCGCGTCCATTTTAACATAACCTTATATAACATTTGACAAAAGATGCGTGCATGATATTGCTTTTTTCAGCGAAGGCCGTGGGGTGGTCGCTTTCCCTCGTTGTTCCAGTTGGCGCCCCAATTTTCATATCTCGCGGTATATCGTTTCTATCTTTTAGAAAGTGGAAATGAAATTATTTAAACAGAAATGAATGCGCGTGCCATATGCATGCATCGGTAAAGATATTTTGTTTGTGAATATGGGCAATTATGTAGGCAGCCAACAGCATGTAACCTTTGACTCCGTTTGTCCCCTTTTAATTTTGATATTTTATAATAAACTGAAGGATATTTACATAAAGTATGAAAGGTTAGTACATACCTCAGTAACAACCATAAAGCTCAATACGCATACATATGTTGCGATCCCAAGACACTGGATGTATACGAATATAACGAGCAGTGATTGGTGGAGACAGAACATTTTTTACGATGGTACGGTAGTCGTTATTCCCGACGGATATCTAAATAAAAGGTCAAAACTGAATATATACTGATGCAATTTCTAAACAATATAAAACCGGACTGCCGATACAGTACTTTACATTTATAGTGACAAACACCAGACATACTTTTACATGTCCCTGTGTAGTAAGCGAATGTCCTATCATTAGTTTATTGCTTTGGACAAAATTAATATTAGATGATTAACTTCATTTTTCACATCGTTCGAGTTGACAAGTTGAAGTTTCTGACTTGAAATTTTCCCCCGTTCAAAATCTACGCAACTCTAGCAAAAAGGTTGAGATCATATTGTGCCTACGTATATCATCCGCATCAATAAATGCTTTTATGACATTTGAGCAGGTAAATTATTTAGATAAAATTTTAAATGCATGTGGGCCAGTTGTTCGAAAGGCGTTTAGCTTAAACGGTGGATAAACCAAAGTTTAAAAAAGATCTTGTGGATGACTGAAACTACATCCTATGCATGCATTTAATATGTACTTCTCATTTGTAATAATAGATTTAAGTAATAGATTTTCTCATTTGAGTAAATATTGCTCAATTTTTGAGTAATTGTACCGATTACTCAATAATTTGAGTAAGTTTTACTCCCCATTTAGTATAGAGAAACTTTACTCTTTTTTGCGAGTAAACGAAAACTCAAAATGTTGAGTAAAGTGTTATAGTAACTTTTACTCTAATTTTTGCGTACTATTTAATTTACTCAACTATGAGTAAATTGATCAGTAAAATTTCTAAGTAAAGTTGAAGTAAATGCTAATACAAGCGGACGGATATAATTAATTATAATGAGCCAATCATGTTTTGCGTTTCCTTTGGCGCGACGATTCAAATGACTCCAATTTCATTTTTAAATGATCAAATCACCGTGAGCTTCAACCGTTCAACGTGCGGTTATAGCTTATCTTTGTGTCTTACGTGTGGTTATAGCTTGTCTTATAGAGATTACTTCATGGTTAGCGAGTGCGTACGAGTTGTGAAGGATCGCAATACGAACGAGTGAGCGTAGCGAACGAGTGAGTTTGCGATCCTTCGCAACGAGTGCATAATGAAAATCGTACAAACGAGCCAACCATGAAGTAATTTGTTTATTAAAATGTGTATAGAGATCAATTTGATAACGACACGCTTTTAATATACAAAAACACAGCGAGCAACAAAATCGAAACTTTATGCATGAAAACATATTTATTACCGTTCAGTTTCTTCGTAATTTTGTTCAATAGAAGTTAGACATTCTTTCCGAAAGATTTGAGAATCTGCTGAATGTAAAAATATCTTGAATATGAGAATTATGTTTTGAATCTCACTCCTATATTTCGACACCATCTTGAAAGAAAATGTAAACAAATTGCCGCCAAAATGACATACGACAATTTTTCACGTGTGAAGAATATCGTACGTCCAATCAAAAGCCGTGTATGGCATTTTTTCACACGTGAAAAACATCGTACGTCCAATCAAATTGCATGAAATTAATTTGCACAGTGAAATACGATTTTTATTTCATCATTCTGCTGTGCATAAATCTCTATACACATATAATAATACCGTTTAAGCAACGCCTATCGAACAACCGGCTCCAGGGGTTGTTTTAAAACCTTTCCTTACTCGCTTTAGGCAAAGTAATTCATGACATTGTGAAAAACCACTTTGGGGGCAAAATTTTAAATAAAATTCAAAAATCATGCATCGCTCAACCTTTGTTAATTACATTATTTTATCAGTAAATTTGCTAGGTACACCACGTAATTATTTACTACTGCATGCAAAGCTTTCAGTCCGTTAACCCGAGCCTTCATCAGTGCAACTGGAACCGGGTTAACGACCCAAAGCTTTGAACTAAACAAAAGACGTTTCCCGAACTTGTGCTCTATAAACTAAAAGTGTGTCTGTCCATCACCGTCCATTCAGCCGCGGAAATACACCTCAGACGTTGGATTACAAAACCTAACAAGAAGCTCTGACATTCGTTTTATTGGCCTCTTTTCCTCTTCAGGTGTTTAGAAAAATGATTGAATGTTCACCCCGTTGTTTCGCCTCTATTTATCTAAAAGAATATTGCTACTCGACTTTTTTTATATCCTCCTTTAATTTACTTTAGGCTTAGTTTAATAAAGATACATTTCTATTTCATGAACAGCGAACAATACACATGCTTATTCTCTCGCCTAGTGTCTCTCACAATCTAATACCTCGTGACCTAATCTAATATGTCAATCACATAACTATAGCCAATCAGCATTAAGATACAACATCCCTTCCTTAACCATAGTTTAAATAATATCAACGTTTAAAAGTTCTAATAGTTCTAAATCTATGTAGTTCTTTATTACTTTACCTTATATAGTTTCATGCTAAGACTTAGTGTCTTGGAATTTCCCCTTATAGTTCTATTACCGTGTTCATTAACTAAACTAATTAACGTACTTGTAAATAATCAGGTTGTTTTCTATTTCTCGTTGATCTTCGTAGAACATTTTCTGCTTCTGGATTACTTCGGTTGGTTTCTGGTTGAGTTGCTTCAGGGTTTTCTTCGTGGATTTCCGCTTGTCCGTCCTGCTTACAATCAGTCTGGATTTCTTCTTCAGGATCAGAGTTTTCTTGGTATAATTTGATATGCGATGAGTTTCTACGATGTTCCTTGTTGTTCTTGTCTTTTAATACTATCTGCGTGCCGTTTATTTTGGTGATTACCACTGAATCAGGGTGAAACTTTGTTGAAAATTTGTTTTCAATTGATGTTTTTGAGTAACTAGCACTTTATTTCCGACTTCAAGATTTCTTGGTTTTGCCTTTCGCTTCTTGTCGGTATATTTTTTTGATTTCTGTTTCTCGTCTTCATTTTTCTTTCGAGTTTCAGTTTCATCGTTTGCCTGTTGATCAATGCGGGGGAGTTTCGTCTTGACTTCTCTGTTCATTAACAACGATGAAGGTGTTCTTCCGGTCATCCTATGAGGAGTGTTACAGTAGTGGAGTAACATTATTGGGATGGTGGGTCTCCAATCTTTGCCTTCTGCCCGTGCGGTTAAGATGTGTTTCTCGAGGACTTGATTAAATCTCTCGACTTGGCCGTTGGCTTGGGGCCAATACTCCGTCACGATCTTATGTTCTATTCCCCAGGAGGTTAATGTATCTTTGAACTCGGTAGAAACAAAGTAGGATGCGTTGTCGGACTTGATTTCCTCTGGAAATCCGTGCGTTGCGAATACTGATAACAACCAGTCAAGAATGGTTTTGGATGTAACCGATTTTAAGATTTTAACTTCTGGCCAACGTGAATAATAGTTGGTAAGGACAAACACTTGTTCTCCGGTGGGAAAGGGTCCACATACATCTATGGCTAGCTTGGACCATGGTTTCTCAGGAAGTTTCGTTGGTTCCATTGGCTCTGGTGGTGGGCTCTTGCTGACAAGTTGACACGGATGACAGCAATGAATTCGTTCTTCGACCTGCTTATCCATCTAGCTCTGGCCACCAAAGCTTGGAGCGCAGGCGTTGTTTGCAGCGGATCATACCTGCATGGTCTTCATGTACAAGGCTAATTGCGTGTTGTCTTAGATTATTAGGAAGAACAATGCGATCACCCCGAAGTAAGATATCTTGATCTGTGATGCAGAGCTCATGAGCGATGAGTCTATATGCTTTCGGGAGTTTGTGTATTTGATTATTTTGCAAGTTCTGTTTGACCTGCTGGGGTTCCAGATCTGCCAATGTTTCTCTTTGTATTTCTTCTAATTTCATAGCTTTCGGTGTCTGAGCTTGAGTCATATAATGGACATATCGGTCTGCGCAAGCTTCCATGTTGCTCCTCATGTTACTTCTCTCCTTTCCATCTTTGCGAAGTCGGGACAAAGGATCGGCCAGATTGGATGGGCCCGGTCGGTAGATAACGTGGAAGTCATACTCGTGGAGTCGAAGTCTCCATCTTTCGAGTCTGGCTGATGTTGGTTTGCTTTGAAGCTTTGCTTTGTAAATATGCTCTAAAGGTCTGTGATCAGTCTCCAATTCAGTGCCCATGGCGAAGCATCAACTACGACTTTAGTTTCCGCAGTAAGATTGTAATGAGCCAATACCGGTGAAGTGGTAATAGCGTTCTTAAGTGACTGGAATGCTTTCTCATGACTGTGATCCCAGTGAAACGTGACATTCTTCTTTGTAAGCTGTCGGAGTGGAAAGGTTAGGGTACTGTAGTCAGGTATATATCTCGAACAGTAATTGGCGAGGCCTAGGAACGATCTGACTTCTGATGCCGTGGTAGGATGTGGGGCATTTACTATGGCTTCGACTTTGGCGCTATCTGGTCTGATCCCCTTCTCGGACACGATATGACCAAACACATTTATCTGCGGCACTGCAAACGAACACTTTGATAGCTTCAGTGTGACTCCATTGGTTCTCAGGATTGTGAGGAGCTGGTCTAGTTGCTTGAGGTGTGTTTCCCTGTCTTTGGACCAAAGCCAAATGTTGGCGTAATCTGGTACATCTTTGATTAGCTCGTGGATAATTTCATGAAAGTGTTCTCCCGATGGTGAAGCTCCCATTATCAGCCTGGTAAATCTATGCGGACCATCGTCAGGAGTTGAAAATGCAGTAATATGCCGGGATTCCTTGCTCCTTCCATCTTCTGAAGTATCTCGTTAACTGTTGGAATTTGTACGCGCCGTCTTACAAGTGCTGTGTTTGGTACACGCATGTTTAACACTATTCGAAGGTCCCCATTCTTCTTTGGAATGGCTATCAATGGTGATAACCAAGGCGTTGCTCCCTCGACTTTCTCGATTATCCCTTCGTCTCGCATTTCCTCTAGCTTTTTGTTTACTTTGGGCTTCAAGCTGTGTGGAATTTTCCGAGTTGTTTGTGCAACCGGGGTTACTGTTGGGTCGATCTCAAGCTTCACTTCACGTCCTTTGATGTTTCCTGTTTCTTCAAATAGCTTTGGATGTTTGGTGATAATACTACGTACATCATGATCTTCTTGAACCGGGTTGAGGGTATTGATGTTGAAGGTGATAAATCCCAATGATGTAGCTGATTCTTATCCAAGGATACATTTAGATTTCTTCTGAGCTACGTAAAACATAGCAGTTTTGGATACACCTGATGCTGAGGTGATGGTAGCTTGAAATTCGCCGGCTAGTTCGAGTGGTGTTGACTTTCGACCATGCACTATCAGGAGGTTCTTTCTGGTATTTATTTCTTTGGAAACTCGAATCGGGCTTCTTGGGCGACTGTATCTGGAATTTGAGCCACCGGAAGTTGGGAATTTTCGATGTTGTTTTGATTGTTTGCCGTTGTAATTATAATTTACCGTTTCGCTACTTTCGCTTTGGGATTTGCTGGCGTTGTCGAGGCGTTTTGACTGCTCGTCAGTTCGTTTTAAAGTGTTTCCGTAATCGAGGATTTGCTGATTGAGGAGAGTCATCGTCTCACGAAGCGCTTTCTTTCTTAACCGAGAATCGCTGGTTTTGTGAATAATTTGGGTTTTAATCTCGTTTTCCTCGCTGTGAAAATTACATCGTGCTGCCTTTGTCTTTAATCTACGATAGGATTCGTTGAGCGTTTCGGGTCCTGGATCCTTGCTTTAGCTCTCGAAAATCGAATATAACCATGTCTGTATTTTGTTGTGGCACAAAGTACTGTGTAAAACTATCGATTGCTTCTTGATAAGTTGTGCCAGTGTCCGGGAGAATATCGAAAATGTCGTTTGCTGACTCGCCCACATAGGTTAACAATAACCCTCTCCGAACCGTTGAATCGAATTCACGAAGACTTATAAGCAAGTTTTCGAAACGACGAACCCATTTAGTCCATCGCTGACCCACTGTTGCTGTATCTTGATGTGGATTGAAGGGAGGAAACGGCGTTAATCCACTTCGTGGAACTTGTGATGTTGTTGTCGCGTTTGTATCGTTTGAAATTGTTGTTGATGATGATGCGCTTTCGGCATTCGTAGCTTGACTTTCGGTATCCATAGTATATATTTAAAGTTATTCGATCCTCGTCGCCACTTTTATATTCCTCCTTTAATTTACTTTATAGGCTTGGTTTAATAGCGAACAATACACATGCTTATTCTCTCGCCTGGTGTCTCTCACAATCTAATACCTCGTGACCTAATCTAATATGTCAATCACTTAACTATAGCCAATCAGCATTAAGATACAACAACTTTCTACACGTATACTTTTTTAAAACTCTGATCTCTAAGCTTGAGTTGGAAAAATAAGCGTAGGAAGGAAGTATTGATAGAAATAACGGCCCGAAGCGCCCAAAAATTTGCGAGCTGAAGGAAATTCTTGAAATTTCAATCTTCTAATCTAATGACACTTTATTCATAGTCTTATATTCCAGTGTTTGAATTATCGAAGACAACGGGAATTTTTTTCTGACGCATTTCCCATTCTTATTAAATTCCTCCAATTCCTATTAAAATTCTGACAAAACTACCGATTTTCCAGAAGGTATAGGGGAAGCTCCTTGCACGAGGCCGAAATTTTCGCCACTGCATGCGTCTATTTTCTGCACAAGAGATGTTTTAGGTACGGCTTCAAACAATCTCTGAAACTGGAAAATTATTTTTCTGATAACTTTTGCAGTTAAATGAATTAGAAGACCCAAAAATTACTTATATTCACTAGAAAAATAAGTACATGGATTATCTAAATATTAAAATCCAAGAAAATTATTGATTTATCAAACATTTATTAACGGTATGTAGTTCTTTTATACGCAGTGCAGTGCAATAATTCTTACCTTAACAACACCTCCATCTTTGTAAGACTCGAACATTGTTCCATTCAAACTATGCTTCAGGGAATAAGACTTCACACGACAATAACGATAATAATTTTGATAATAGCGTCCTCCCTGAGTGGAAATCCCTGTGACAACTTCCTTCTTGCCAAGATCAACCTGTATCCACTGTTTCTTGTTGTCTACTCCTGCTTTCCATCCCCAACTTCCAGTGTAGTTGTACAATCGTCCATAGGCTGCTGAGTGATTTGTTGACCAATAACTCGAAGAAGTCAATTGAGAATCTTTAACTTTTTTATTATCTTCCACGCCAAGTGTCTTTTCACCAGCTTTACAAGGAATGGTATTCACTAGAGAGTTTTATAAAAATCTTAATTTAACTGATGCCGGTGGAACGAATCCCACTTGGGTCAAATGATATAATTTAAGTTGAATAAAATGATTACTCATTGTTAGGTTGTGCTCTTATATCAGTCATGTATGTGTCAATGTCTTAATCAGGAAATACGTGTAAATATAGACAAAGAATAATTGTTATGTTTTGAGCGAAGCGAAGAAAGCAGACGCATTCGCGGAGCTAGTTCAATGTTTGGACGACAGAAGTCCATCTCTGGTAATATGGGAAGCTAGAGACGACGGACCAGAAGCGCTCAAGATTCTGCGACAACACTACCAAGAAAAGGTAAAACCTCGTGTCATATCTCTGTATACCGAACTGACTTCGTTAAAGAAGACCGATAACGTAAGCATTGTCGACTACGTGGTAACGGCTGAGAGAGCAGCCACCGCTTTGAAAAACGCTGACGTAGTTGTAAGCGATCCGCTTCTAATCGCAATGGTCCTAAAAGGGTTACCAAACAACTTCAAGACATTCTCGGCGATTGTAATTCAGTTGGACAAGCAAAATGACGTTCACGGAGTTCAAAGTTGCCTTACGCAACCACGCCAAGGTTACAGAGACGAAGGAAAGGGTCATGGCGTTCAAAAACAACAAGTTTGACGGGGAGTGTTTTAAGTGTGGAAGAGGCATCGCAAATCAGGCGCGGATCTAGACCGTATCGAACGTGGCTCGAGCTACGGTCAGATTTTCCCATCTAGAATTTTCCCCCCTGCAATCTAAAATTCATACATTATTTAGAAGTACATATTAATTCTTTGAATCACACCAAAATTAAGCAAATATATGTCTAAAGCAAATAATTTGAGTAATATCTTTCGTAATCGTTGTAATATTATTACCAATTCTAATTGCTAAAAGTGGGAACAAATTCCCAATTATTATTCAGTTAACATGATTGTTCAGTTAACACTGAACTATAAAATTCGCCGAAAGCTTCCCGAATTGTGCCGTGTATGTTTGGAAGCTAGTCGTGCATTCGAAGCTGCGATCACAGCAACCAGTTGATACGGTCAGCGTTGCGATAAAGATGATAAACAATAAAGTTCGATACTTCTCGACTTCGAACTCGGATATAGTTTATACATAACACGTTAAATTGGTCTGTTCGCTGCATCCTGGCTGAATCGAATGCATTAATACATGAATCCGTCGAAATTTCTCAGAAGCAAATCTAAACGAGCATATTTCAGGAGAAATATCGCTCTTCAGGCTACAACATGATGGAATTTATAATATTACTAAAGAAAGGCTTCGCTTGTTCGCGTTTAATATAGAATCGGAACGACCATTTTTAAACTGCTATTCCCCAAGAGACAAACACTGAAAATCTTTACTTAATGTCCTTGTAAGGTAAGACTTTTAAGTTTTAAATTAAATCGAACTATGATACAAATTTGCATTTACGCTGTAGTCTGTGAATAATTTGTGTATGAAAATTTCACGTTATGTCGAGTGTGAATGAAATACCGGTATCGGTAAATACCTTACCAATGAAAAAGGTTTTGTAGTTTTATGAAAGTACAGGGATTATACAATATTCGCTTTTAAACGTTCGCTGAAGAATATTGTGGAACCAATTGCAAAGCTCAGAAAATGTTTGTTTCGGAGTTTAAAATTTGGAAATTCTCCAGGGTCCATTGCCCCTTCGCAACCCCCCCCCCACCGGAAAATTTTTAGCCCTATATGACACGGTCAGATTTTGGGCTGGATCCAAGCCTGGCAAATCCGAATGTTAGACAAAGTCCGTGAAGAATGGGAAGTGGTGTTCCATCTGTAAAAGCAAAACGCACGAGACCAAAGATTGCCGCAACAACTCGGGAAAGCAGGACTCAACAAAGATGGCAGAAGATCAGAGAGAAGAGAAGAAAGACAAGAACGAACATACTTTTGTGAGTGTTAATTGTGATTGTGATAATGTGTGTCATGTCAGTGATAATTGTGTTTTAGTAGATAGCGGGGCAACTAGTCATATAATTAGCGACAAGTCTAAGTTTATCAATTTCGACAAGAATTTTAACCCCGATATGCATGCAATAAGCATCTTAGGAGCGCAGATGGCACAGTCTTCGATGTAGAGAAATCAGGACGTCTATATTATCTAAATAGCATTTCATCCTCTGAGAGTAATGCAGCTTCTCTGTTAGAATGGCATAGCCGGATCTTAGGGGACTGTAATCTTACTGACATACGTAAACTTGAGAAGGTTGTAGACGGCATGAATATCACAAATTATGATGAGGCTGACTGTGAGATATGTTCCCAGGATAAAATAACACAGCCAAGAAGTAGAACACCAGATAGACGAGCGAAGGCTCCATTAGATTTAGTCCACTCAGACTTAGCAGGACCATTTAGTCCGGATGGTAAAGATGGTTTCAGGTACAGCTTATATCATTCGTTGACGATTACAGTGGTGTGATCATGATGTATTTTTTAAAACACAAATCTTACACTGTAGAGGCTACAAAACAATTTATTGCTGACATTGTATCTCTTGGCAAAGTGAAATGTATCAGGAGTGATAACGGGGGGGGGGGGGGGGGATTAGTAGAACATGAGTTTAAATCATTTTTACGGTTTTTACGGATCACAATTTAAGGATTACAGTTGTGTAACTCGCAGCGGAACATTTTGATGTTGCTGTCCCTCAATTCCAGGCAAACGCTCACGTTATGAAACTGATATTACATAAAGCATGTTAGAAAAATTAACACCCTTCTTTATGACAGCATACCTGTACAACCATAAAGTTCGAATCTCATGGCTGCGTTTCTGTACCATGTCTTTGGGTGTAAACGAATATAACGCGCTGTCACAGCCGGTGATAAAGGATTTCTCACAATGGAATTCTGGTCATAATTTCCACTGAATTCCTAAAAATACGAACGCGATGATGTTATCGAACAATGTTCGAACCATTTATTTTTATTTTTAGTCTCAATCATGGTAAATACATTAAGTATGGAACTTTACCAACTTAATTATAGCAAATAATAATATTATTAATTTGATTTATTTACATGCATGTTCCATACGAAACTACATCATGAAACGAGCAGCCTTCACAACCTCAATATTATCATATACATGCAGATAAAAAGAAACATTCTACCCTTGTGTTTCACATAATAGTATGAATCTTGAAAAAAAATTCCAATCTTGGATTGCGTGAATCGTTAGTTAATTTGTCTGTGTTAATTTTGTGTCCACTTGAAGATTTTTTGCTTTTTACGAATGTTATAGGAGATACATATAAGCGAAAATCATAAAAGTCAACTGCATTTATAGCTGGAAGCCGTTTAAGTTAAGTCGAAAGTCCATGCATCGATAAATTTTTCAGGCTTTCAGCTATGACGTTGAACATCTAAATTTAATCGACTATAATTCGCCACATGAAAACAGGACGATACACAACAAACTTTAAGTACAACACATTACATTTTGCAGGCTCAAATTTAACAAGGTTAAAAACAATATACGAAAGTGACAAAACGAGGAAAACGACAAAACGTGTGTGCCGTGCAATGATGGAATCATTATAAACATCATTTCATTATCCTTCAAATTTCAATCAAATACAAAAAATAAACTATTTCCAATTATACTTCACAAACTCCGGTCGAAATATATAAAGCTTGCCTTACCGTACTCTAGCTCACATTTCAACGCTTCAGGAACCGGAAGAGAAGAGAAAAGAAAGGAAAAACCCGCATCACATGACTCGACCTTATAAGTTCGCACCCCCCGGCGCCTCATTGGCTTTTTTTTTCGAGCTCACTCACGTGTAAAACTTATAAGGTAAGTCTTTGCATTTATTTTACGCTTTATCTCGCTTTTAAGCTTTACTTTTCTAGCATGTCTGTTAAATCTAATCGGAGACGTCATCGTAGTGATCATATGTCCTCTCCAAGCGAAAAATCTTCGCCAAAAGACCCGGAAAACAGAGGACTTGCCGAGGAATTCGACAACAACTCTGCCATTCAGACACCTTTAGTTGGCTCTATGGCCTATGCCACCTTTAGACGGCGTTGAGCCGAAAAATATAAACGATAACTCTAACCCGAACACTGTCGTTTCGGCAGAAGAAGCTTCATGCGGGTTCTTTGATCCTGGGAGCTCCGCTCAACGACGATGGTCTCCTTCAGACCTTTTTGGCAAATTTCTGGAGATAAACATGCGCAGACGCCTAACATTAGACCAAGTTAAAATAAATTATATATCTATATAACTAGTACTTAAAATTCCTTTATAAACAATGTTATAAAAATATTTGTTAAACTAAGACGCGTACGGTTTAATCTAATATCCTTTAGAAAGTTTATTTAAGAAATATCGTAAATCTTGTCCAACATCATCTTCTTTAGGTCAGTTTTAAATTTTTCTTAAGGTAACTTTTTCAGATCTTCGTCTAGGTCGTTCCATAGTTTTACCGCTCTGTAATAAAATCATCTCCTCTTGGAGCTTGCTCACTAATTGGCGAGTTCCAATCAAAAGTAGCTTTGTCTTTTCAGTATTTATCAACAATTTGTTTCCAAAAAACAAGGTTGCAATCAACTTCAGGTCTTCTTCTATCTTATTTTGTGCAATAACAATGTCTTCAATTGGAAATGACAGAAAAATCTTAGAATCGCCGACAAATGATTCCAACTCAGATGATTGAGGTACTTTTGGGAGATCATTAATATAGGTACAAAACAATAAAGTTGACAATACGGCTCCCTGGGGCACTCCATGATTAATGGGAAGGACTCCAGACACGGAAGAGCCAATGCGAACAAACTGATTTCTGTCTGAAATATAACTTTTAAACCAACTAAGAGCTTCAACGGAAACTCCGATATTGCTGAGTTTCCTTAACAAAATTGAATGGTCCACACTGTCGAATGCTTTTGAAAGGTCTAATAAGACTAATGCCGTAAGCTTTTTATTATCCATCGAATTTAGCAAAAAATCATTTACCAGTATATTAAGCATTTCGGTCGAATGATACTTCTTGTTTCGACTTTGTTTTGATGACAGGCGTCCATGCAGTGTAATTGATAAAATTACTAAATTGTTTAAAGGCAACTTTTCGCAAATTTTTTATAGTACTTTCAACATTGAAAGCGGGCGATTGTTGGAAGCAATTTCGTGGTCGCCTTCCTTTAAAAGTGGAATAATTTCCGCTATTTTCCAGGATTCAGGGAAAGTCGAAGTAGTAAATGAAATATTTATAATATCAGTCAACGGGAGCGTTGGTCAACGGGAGTCAACGTTAAAATGTGAGTTAGAGTACGGTAAGGCAAGCTTTACCATGCATATGACTGTTTTCCCATATATTTCGACCGGAGTTTGTGAAGTATATAATCATAAGTATAGGTAATAGTATGATTTCGAGTGCAATTACGGGTTAACAAGCATGAATGAGTTTTTAAAGGTCCGAAGGACGAGCGTTATTTGCAGTCTTTAAAACTCACGAGTATATATCACGTATTAATGATATGCATGGAATCTTCGAGACAATAAATTAAAGACCTCATCCATTATATTTCCTTGAACATTTCTTTCGAACTTAATTAGTTTAAACAATTTATACAAGAAATGAAAAACATTCAAAATTCAAATTTTAACAGTTCTTCTGTCCATTGCTATTATTAAGCGTGGAACAGTAATTGATTGGCTAATTTTATTTTTTTAAACAAATCAAATATATTTGTAACGGGATTTTGCACTGTTGTTGCAGAATTTTGCACTGTTGTTACAGAAATTTGCACTTTTGTTACAGAAATTTGCACTGTTATACATTTTTGCACTACTATTTGGGATTAACTGCACTAGTGACTTAGATCAGCCAATCAGAGTCGAGAAACATTTTCTTGTATATCATTATTACACTAACAGGCGCAAAAAGCCCTTGTGTAATTCGAATTTTCTTTATTCTAATTTTCCGCTTTTCTTAAATTGTAAAAATATTAACAACTGATCACCATTGAATCTAATCAATACGAATAATTTTATACCTTTCCGGACGTGCTGAGAGGGTTTTGCAAGAAAACATTTCATTGCCTGTAATTAGCAGTAAACGTACGGAAAATAAAAACAATATTTTAACCAGGCTTGTGTAGGCCTTGTATTTCATCAAAATAATAATTGAATTTTCGAAAAAAATGTCGTGAATGAGAGAAGCTTTGTCCTGGAACGAAGACTAACAGCAGGGAACAAAATGCTTTCGAATGTTTCGCAGCATCCCTCATGCATGTATCACGCAATCTTGCACGAAAAATTATTTGGTATATCTTTAATAATGCATTTTGGTGTCGCTAACAACGCAGGACTTTGAGATTATTGATAAAATATTCATTGTTACTTTGAGAGCTGAAGCTCATTAATTGGTTTTCGAGAAATATAGTTGCTTAATCCAGTGTACTATCAGACCAGTGACATCAATATATACTGTATATTGTTTGAAGTATCAAACGATTTAGCAGGCGAAATATTCTAAAGACAAAAAAAGCTCAGCTTCAAGGTGAAGCTTGTGTGAAAATTGCCGTAATTAATGTTTAGTTGGACATGGATATAAATTATATATAATAAGGGGCCTGATTGATTTATTGCAAGTTGCCGCATGAGAGAGAGGTTAATACTGTCGGGAATAAATGGTGGTATTAAAAAAATTACAACTATTTTGGTTTGAATTCTGGTTAGTCTCACTGAACGGGCTCGCGTAAGTGGAATTTGCACATATTTGCATAATATAAGCTTGCACTAACCCACCGAAGGCAGCAACTTACCCTAATTATTCCGTTTATTTTATGAAAATCAAAGTTTTTTCCATCTGAGCTATAGGAGACAGTGAAAATTTTCACCCACTCATTTGATCCCGATTGGCCTTGAGTTGCAATCACTGAGATAATCTCATTTCTCCTAAGATCAACTTCAATCCATGGATCATTTTCATATTTCGCGCGCCAGGCACCAGGGCCTTTCAATCGAGCCTTTCGTGCGGGATAGGTATCACTCCAGTTGGTTGATGCCTTTATCTGGAAATCAGAAATGTTCATGTTTTCCATTCCCAGTGCGCCCTCTTTGCATTGTCCTATAAGTATCACAAATGTTTTGTTAAAACCTTACATATCATTCACCTTTGCCTTCCTGGGATGGCAGTGTTATAATACAGAAGGTTCTCAGTCAGCGGGGGGTGTGATCTTTTTGAAACGACTCGAAACAAAACTTGTACTGACTGGATCATTTTTATTTAATAAGAGACTAATCAATGTAAGGAATGCCAAATGACGCTTTTGTTAATTTATTTCGATTATTAATCATAACATCGTAATAATCATACAATTATATATATCTATATATGCTTAATTGTACTTAATGTTTCATTATGATTAAATTTTTTTGCAAAAACAACTAAAAATGGCTTTAATTGTTTTTAACCGATAAAAAATTGGCCCAATAAATGAATCTGAGGTAGGTAACCAATTTTAGAAATTATTTACTGCATTTAAGAGCTGGCGGACACAATTTTTAGATGCCCAAACACGTTTAGTTTAGCAATAGCTCGATAACAAAAACTGTGAGAACACTATACAGACTTTTTAGTTTTCTTTTTAGTAGAAGTCGACGAGTTATGGAAAATGGATAATCATGTGTTTTCGGCATCAAGCAGAAGTAATTTATTCAAATGGTCACAATTCAAAAGGAACAGACGAAATATTTCGCATTTCCCCGAGAAAAAGCGCCCGTGGAGTCAGGCTCTTACACGAAAATTTGAATGTTTCTTTTTTTTGCCGAGGCTTTAATAAAACTCAACATGACGCACGTCATCGGCTTTCTACGTTTGAAGTCATTTTAAAAAGGTCTCCTAGTTACATACCTGATTTTGGTGACTGTGTTGTCGCCTGAAGTTTCGGGCAAGATTGGGAAGGATCTGCCTGTTTCTGTAAAAAACGATTAAACAGATCTTTAACCCATATAACATTATTTTAGATATTATTATTTTCCAATCTTAGAAATTATTGGATTAATTTTTAACCAATTACGCATCCCCCAGATTGAAATAAGATTAGAATTAAAACCTGGCTCCGAGAGTAATGAGAACAAATGTTGGGAAATTATGATTTGCTTCTTCGAGAAAAATTCGTAATTCCAATCAATTGAAGTTGGTTGGAATTACAAGGCTGTCTCGTAGTGGCCATCTTTTAAGAAAACTGATAAAAAAATTTTCAGTTGAATTATTTGCATAATGGAATTATTGCACACATTGCGCCCGCGGTGCACCAGCAAACTCCTTCGAAGTAGTTTTCCATGCAAGTACGTTTTTTTTCCACTCACGAAATTTTTAGCGGGAAAACCGAATTATTTTTTTTGTATTGGAGATAGTATTTCAGATAGTTTACTCGACAGCTCTGGAGTAAAATGTTATTTTAGCCCTTTATTATTGCTATTAAAGCGGATGTTATTAGAACATCCGAAGTGTAAAATTTTGATGCAAAAGAAATCGGGAGTTATTTTTTTGTTTATATGTATATGTATATTTCAGATACCAATATTGCGGTTAAGGTTGAATAACATTGGTTTACATGAATATAGTTAAAAGTCTAACTATTTAGAAGCCATAGCTATTAAAACTAAGTAATAATGCACATAAATAATATCTATTTAAGACTAGAGACTTCCATTTAAGACTATTAGCAAACCTATTTGTCCTATGTCTTGGGATAACCTGTTTTGTGTCTCGGTGGAACAAGGGAATCGAGTTTATGGGTTGTTTCGTGACAAATTTGAACGAAAAGTTTGTCGCATATGGTTTTTCTCCGTAGGGACAGCAACACCACCCCAGCGCGTACTAACGCATCTTCATAGTTGAGGTCTGGGAAGATTATACGAAGGGCTCTGCGTTGAATGCTTTCAATCTCATCGCAAAAGTATTGCGTCAAACTATAATGCCATACCTCGCACGAAAATTCTAGGATTGGACGAATGCAAGTAGTATAAACTCGAACTAACTTGTCCGTTGGTATAGAGAATCTCTTGAGTAATCATAAATCATACAATCGCTTAGAAGCTTTCTTGCAATTATGATTGACGTGCTCGATCCATTTAAGATCGTTGGAGATCATGACGCCGAGTAATTTGGCATGCGAAACCACGGCTATCTCCTGATCGCAGATAATGATCGGTGGAATAGACTCAGAATCAAGAGAAAACCCTACACGAATTTCTTTAGTTTTCCTTGGATTAAATTTCATGTTATTCTCAGAGGTCGATTTGGTCGATTCCGTTATTTGAGACGGTAAGGCGGAATCGAGTTCTTGACTCTTCGAGACGATTTCCCATATAGTGGTGTCGTCAACGAATTTAACCGTATCGTCAGAAACATTCAAGTCGTTCACCATGATGAGGAAAAGGAGGGGGCCCAGTTTTGTTCCTTGGGAAACTCCTCCATTAATTGTCCTCCATTTCGAAAGATTAGAGCCAATTCTTGTTCTCTGGCTTCTGTCGGTAAGAAAGTTGGCGATCCAATTGATTAAAATAGGGTGAATGTCCATGTTGACGAGTTTCTGCATCAGAATGTTAAAATCGATTCGGTCAAATGCTTTGGAAAAATCTAACATGCATATCCGTAGGCAGGCTCCAGGTGTATCCATCGCTTCCTACCATTTATGGAGTAGATATATTAGCGCCATGGTGGTTATTAGATCCTTTAATTGAACCAAATTGGAGTTTATCAATTTGGTCGCGAATAGACTGCAAGAGCCAATTATATGGGAACGACTCCAAGATCTTGCTTACTATGGGCGTGAGTGATATCGGTCGGAAGCCAGAGTCGAAATCCAAGGCAGGAGAGGAGTTAGCAGCAGGGATAACATTTGCCGATTTCCACAGGGATAGGATAACCGTCATGGATGGATGCATTGAATATAGCTGCTAATGGGCAACATAATAACGAATAATTTTCGCGGAGGAACCAAGACGTAATTTCGTCGGGGCCTGCAGCTGGGAAGAGTTTGACGGATTGCAGTGTCTTCTCGGTGTCGTTAACTGAGATGTAAAATTCAGGAGGAACATCGCTGACTTCGAGAGGTGTCCAAGCAAGCGGTAGCAGAGAATTTCCAACAGCAACAAACTTGTCGTTAAACAGGTTGGCCAGACTCAAACCGGAATAGAGCTGGCCGTTGTACGCAAGTGTTGAAACGTTTTTAGATGGAGCAAGGCCAGTCAATTTTTTAAGAGCGGACCACCATTTCCGCGGATTCGACTGGGTAGTATAAGCGACATTAGGGAGGTTAAGATCGACTTCCGCTACGAGTACCGATACCAATATTCAGTCACGTGCATGCGCAGACGTAACAATCGTCAAAAATGTGATAACGTCGGAAGTCGCAAGTACCGTTTTGGGGCTGAAAATGGAAGTGGGTAGCTGGGCGAAGTACCGAATTATATTTACTGTATATTGTCGTTTTCTGCAGTAGTTTTCTAATAATATTATTTAGATTTTACTTGTATAATGTTTCTGCTTTGTTTGGTGAGACTTAAGGATTGTGATTAGAGTGTTTGATGTGAATATAGCCGCTGTACTCTGCCATGTTTATTTACTTCTTACGGAAGTCGCAATCTTAACGCTTTAAAATTTCCGCGCTGCCAAACTGTAATACGTCATGTATTTTCGTATCGGTACTGGTAGTGGAAGTAGATCTTAACCTCCCTATTATTGAAATAAAACTTTGACCGAGCAAGCCTATACACTAAGTATTGATTTTGCTCCTATATAAAATCGAAACATTGGCTTATTTCCACTGCGCCAGGTCGCTTGGCGTTTCTATATTAATCTTTTTATTTCCGGAGTAATCCAGGGCTTATCGCCAGAGTCAGATTTGACACGTTTCAGCGGAAGAAATTTCCTAACAATACCATCGACAATAGAAGACAATAGAAGAGAAGTATCTGAACTGTTCGTCACAAGAGCTCAGGTGATACATTGAAGATACACTCGATGAACTTAGTGAAGGTATTCTTACCATGACTTGATTTGTTCTACGGGATCTATTAGAAAACTTGAGTTGGACTTTACCTGAGGCTTTATAGACGTTGGCAACTGCCTGGACTGTCTGGTCCATGGCGGTCTCGGACGGTGGTTTCTCCTTGGACGGTGGTTCCTCCTGGACGCTTTTAATAAAAAATTTTGATCTCGATTTCTGACTAGATGTCGATCAGTTATGGGAGGGTGATTTGGGTCTTGACTTCCAGATGCAGACGGCTTCTGTGTACGCAATCGGTTTTTGTGGATTCGCTTATATTCTTGCATCTGTACATCAAAGGAAGGCCCAGACTTTTTTGTTTCGCTTAAAGCGGTGGGCAACGATGCACTTCTTTTAGTTAAGGGATTTGTTTGTCGGTTTAATTGATCCATTCGACTTGCCGATGACGGGCATGTTAATACTGCCTGTGAATTTGCGTAGTCGTTCACGTCTTCAAGTACAATTTCGCATGAATCGGCCACAGTTTGATTAATCGGTTGACCGCCGGATTCCTATTGATAATAAAGGAAGGGCTGTTGCTGCGTACGAACTCGCATGGAGAGTCACAGCTTTATCTACACTTTCGTTTAGGTTAACCGTAGGTTTACGCTTAGCCAGCTCGATTGTTAGAACCTCCAGGGTGTCAGAAAGTAGACAGTTCTCATCCCCTTAAACGCGCTATTAATTCCGCTTCGTTTCTATCCGCAGTATTCGAGATAAACTTGTCCTTTGTCAAGCTATTAACCGTGCAGTAATTATCGATTCGAAACCACTTGTCCGCTTTAACTAAGTTAAGAGTTCTTTCTTGATTTGATTCAGCAACAGTCATATCATGTTTAATTTCTCCTAGATCAGCCGATAGATTACTGCAAATACACAGAGAAGAACTACGTGTTTCTCCCCCAATATTCGAATGATTATAGCGGGCATAGCTCCATCTGTAGAAAGGCTTTCAGAATACAAGGCTTGAAACAGCTTTCGTTGGATAGGTTCTGCGTTCACTCCTTGGATCTGTAAGAGTTTCTTTTACTCCACCAGAGTATAGTTGGATATTCTCCACAATAATTTTTATAATACTTTCTTCTCGCCACCAGGGGAGAACCACTCGCCTTCGAGCTGAAGATAATCAGCAGCCAAAAGTTTCACGGACGCGAAATCGGCAATCCAAGCAAGCTTAAGATTATTTTGTAGTTCAAACCTTTCATACACACTTCCATGATTTAGCTTAGATGATGGGTTATTACAATTTGCGGTCATAGGGGATGTATTTGACTCAGTGTAGTCGGAACCCATTTTATCATGACCAGCCATCTTGAATAATCCCATTAATCTGCAGATACAGTCACCGAACTTGTTCCCATTTGGCGGCCATTTTGAAACGTCTCTGTTGCTACGTATAGGGTATATATGCATGTTGAATAAAAGTTTTATTAAAGTTTAGTGTTTTATAAGCAAACATTTAGATGGCTTAATATCCCTGTTGTGTTTGATATTTAGGGAGCCACCTTAATATATGATCCTGAAGAGGTAAAATGGGATAATCATCTCCAACGCAACATATATAACACTGAGACTCGGTATGTGCATGTTTTGTATCAATGACATGATTCGCTATTATTATTATTTTTATATTATTAGTATAATTCGCTATTATAAGTATTTTTTAGTTCTTTTCGGAAAACACCCCGACGAATGATTTGGCATTCGCCAGACTGGAGTATTTGTGAGATTAAAATCAACGCACAAATACTCCTTAAAGCAGCCATTGTGAAAGTGAAGCTATACTAAATTGCTTGTTCATCAATTATGTATGGGTTAACGTTTCAAGTAAATATCGTTATTCAGACACCAAATTGAACTACTTTTTGCAAGGATTTAAATCGTATCAGCTTTACTAACCAAATTATTATTTATTTTGCTGGTAAAACGTAATTACTTTAATTCAACGTGAAAAACCTCTTTCATTTTGGATTGCTGCCGCCGCGTCTGTTCAGGCTCTATTAACTTATTCCGTAGAAACAAAACACCTGTGTGTTTGCACGGGTTTAATTATTAACTCTTAAAATAGAGTACGTGCTGTTTCGAAAACCTATATATATTTCGCACATATATTTCGCGGAATTCGCACACGCGTGGATGCAGAGCTGAAATTTTAAACAGATTTGGTTATCTATGTTCCAAATTATGAATAGGATTTTCCTCTTTTTCATTCCTCTTTTTTCAAGAAATAAACCATATCGAGCATCATACTAACTTTCCGGACGATGGCCCTCAGGTCGAAAAGTCGAGAAGTGTTTTGTCTATTTTAGGCAGTTGTTATACCACATTTGATGCCATATCGAGCATATTTAACGTTGTCAAGACCCCATTGTAATAATTTGTAGACATTTTAGCATTTTTTTTTTTTTTTTTCAAACATAAAACACTATACCGGTTCGCATTGTCACGACATCAAAATTATGGCCATGTCAAAGCGAGTTTAACCCCCCAAAAAGTATCGTGGCATAATTGATTTAACATCATCTGTCAAAGGAAAAAGTTCTGGGGAAAAATATACCGTAAGACAACTTTATTAGACTAATGTTGTGTCCATGTGAATGCGGTATAATGTAAACAGGGTGTAAATCACACCATATCCGTACGAATTCGCTTTCTGAGAGTGCAAGATTTGATATAACCTAATGCAAAAATTTTCAAATCAGTTTTTTCTTGGAAGAATGTTGTGATCTCAATTTTGCTTAAAAATTCTTGTTTGCTCGGCAGCACTTTAATAAAGAGTTGACGCTTGTAATCAACATGCGCGTCTTAGGATAAAGAGATAATTAAAAGGCCACTCAGTGGTGCCAAGTTCATGTTCTCGACAATTTCTTCATGCAAAAATACGCAATAAACTGGCCAGAAGCGTAAAGTTCATAAAACATCCAAAGTGTAAAATTTTGATTCAAAAAAGTCGGTTGCCACCGAACTCGTTCCCGATATAAACGATTAAACGTTTGTGTTGAACTCTGTTGCTATAGCAACAGTTGCTAAGCGAATGTTTCCATCCTTTTGGAAAAAGGCTAAATTAATCCCAATCCATAAATCGGGTGAAAAGAATGAAAGAGGAAATTTTAGGCCAATTTCTGTTCTAGTTATTCTCTCTAAGATCATAGAAAAGCATGGGATACCACTGTTTTTAACCCGGAAGTGGAGTAATTTTTACTCTTTAGAGAAAAATGCATACTCCGCTTGTTTTGGTGCAAGACCGTCCCTCAGTTGGGGGGAAAACCGGGAGTATTTCCACTAAATTATATGGAACGGCAAATATAAGAAAATATTTTTGATGAATGGAATGATAGGTACGACATGATCTGGCACAAGTGTATTACAATCTTTAAAGTGAACATTTACGTGTCCATGCATATAGATAATTTGCTGTCTATAACAAGAATCCTCGCGCATTGACGATATGTATGTATTATTTGTTACAAATACAGTAAAGAAATGCTTGTAACTTGCTTCCAAAGTCAAAACAAAAAAATTGAGACCAGTCAATTGACGCGGAATATTGCTTGGAATAATTGTCCCAATTTTTTGTCCGATCGGGCAAGTAATGCCAAAGTGTTCGGGGGTTTTTCAAAGAGCGCGTCACCCCTAACAACAACGACAACACTGATCAACAACAAGAAGATTAGCAGCGATTAGGGACTGGCCGGCTCATGGTTCAAAAAGAGTTCTTGAAAAGTACGCTAATATAATATCGTATCGTAGTAAAAGTACACAATGTGAAGAGTTAAAAACCTTTTTCAGATACAAATGCCTATTGGACGAACCATATGACTGTATGTCGGCCGTGTAGAGAATAGCATAGCTTTTTCGATGAGAAGGGGGCAGGTGCACGTCTGGCATTGCTATATGCTTTGTTTTTCTACAAAATATTCATAACTGCACCTTACAATGGCTGCGACATCCAATAGAATTAACCAAATGTATATACGCAATAATATAATTTATATATATATATATATATAAGAAATATAATATAACTTCTCATTAGGCTATAGGTCCAAGGATTTCGGGTATGTAAATATGTAGCTACAGAAAGTGGGATAATTGTTAAATTTTACATACAATTGCCTCGCTTGTATGATAAGATACAAATCATCCCATATTTTAGTTAACAAGCTTCTGAGTCTAACAATTAATTTCCTTTGTTGAGAAAAATCGTGAATGTAAAGGCGTGCTCATACCTTCTCTTTTAGTTACAACATTAGCTATATCATACATTCTTACCTTTTCAACTTTGTAAAGATGGTTGAATTCTGCGTTATGCTTGCTTTCATCAGCGTAAGATATCTCTTGAAGTGTCTTACTGTTGAGCTCACACAAACCTTCACCGGTTCCAGAGGTTTTAAAATTGACTGACACACATGATTTATCTCTAACGCAATATATATAACACTCAGATTCGGTATGTGCATGTTTTGTATCAATGACATGATTCGCTAAGTATTTTTGTTGCTCTTTTCGGAAAACAGCCTGATGAATGATTTGGCATTCGCCAGACTGGAATATTTTTGAGATTAAAATCAACGCACAAATGCTTTGTAAAGCAGCCATTGTGAAAGTGAAGCATGTAGGTTTTAACACGCAGTTTTAAATTAACTAAAAATTGCTTGTTCATCAATTATGTATGGCATTAGCGTTTTAAGTAAATATCGTAATTTAGACGGTATATTGAACTACTTTTTGCAAGGATTTAAAACGTATTATTATATAGCAAGTTTCGAAGTTCATCTGTTCCAGAATCTGATTGCATGGTTAAAAGTACGTCACGTGAAAGGCGAAAAATCCGAATGCTTACCCCAAAATCCTGTTTGTCATGTTTTAACCAGTTTGATAGGGGATTAATACTTTCAACACCGGGTGTTAATGAAACCGGAAGCCGTGATGCTACGTCAAATCACCTTTGAACTTCAGCCGAATTCTTTTAAATTAAAAGTTTCTTTGCCTACGATTTTGTCGCGTATTTTCACCCGTTGTTTCCTTTGAAACTTATTATATAAAAAAACACTTATTGACATGATGCCGGTGTCCCTCGGGATCTCTCCATATAAGTCTTTATTAACTTAACTCTAACCAATTTATTATTTGCTGATGAAACATAGTTACGGGTTCTAATCAAAAGTGAAAAACATCTTTCATTTTGGCTTGCTGCCACCGCGTCTGTTCCGACTCTATTAACTTATTCGGTAGAAATAACACGACTGTGTAGTTGCACGGTTTAATTATTAACTCTTAAATATTTTACGTGCTGTTTCAAATTTCTGTTTATGCTGCTAATATGGTCACACTGAACGGGCTGCCGGTCATGTACCACACAGTGTAATTAGCCTTTCTCACGATGACGTTTTTGGGGTACTTTCAATATTCCCAAATGGGTTTCAAAAATGATAACAAAATGAAAAGCAATTTTTTTAGAATCAACAGACCATTTGAAGAATAAAAATAAAGATAGTCGCCGTTACGGGGTCTTACGCTCTTTGTTTTCAACAAAAGTACCCCAAAAATAGTTATAGTTATAGTTTAATGATTCACACACATTGCAGTTACAAAGACTGAATTATGTGGTGATTACAAAAGAGAAAGGCTAAAAATTAAGTTATATTTACAACATCTGGGCAAGGATAGTGTAAAAAAATTTACAGTGAGGAATATAGATTATAAAATTGAATTATTCATATGGGCTAAAACTAAGGTAAAATGTTTTAAAACAGTCTGCAAAAACTGGGGAATAGAACATGAAAATATTAATCGAAGCTATAAACTATTTACATCGTCTAAAGTTGCTACCGACGGTATGAAGCTCTTTTGGTAACGATCAGTTCTACAAACTGTAACTTCGAAACTCCTACAATGGCGTAGATCGTAATCGTTGATTCTCAGAGCTGGGACGAGCGAGTTTAATTTGTGTCCAGGCTTAAGCATACTGCGAAGAAGCCATTTGTAAAGGGTGTTTCGCCGATCATGCATCGATGAAACGTTAGCGGATAGTAACGCTTGGTTGTAGGTGAGGGAAAGAGAAGATAATTCAGAGAGCTCGCTTCTGGATCTGTTCAATTTGGTTACTAAGGAACGCAGGAAGGTTGTAATGCCAAACCTCACATGCATACTCAAGGATGGGTCAAACACACGCACAATAAACTCTGACTAGGATGGAGGACGAGAGAGCGTTTCTACGCAATAATCGTAAAGCGAATAAACGTTTGGAGGCCTTTTTGCAAATGGTATTTACGTGCAAGTTCCATTTCAAATCATCAGAAATGGTAAGACCAAGCAGCTTAGCGTGCTTAACAACATTTACTGCGGTTTGGTTGTTGATCAGGATTGGTGGATAAATGGCGCCATTTTCGGCTTCGTGAGAAAGGCTAATTATTATCCCAAGTACATTAACAGAGAAATGCGCCCTTTGTGTTTATACTTCGTAGTTCCTGATTCAATAATACCATCTTACTTGTTTTTAACAATATTTTACAATTTACAAATATATGCATGGAGAATAAGAATATTAAATTTATGACCATCGGCATATATCCCCCTTCTCTAGCACATTTTCACTTATGTATTTAGGATTTTTCTTTAGGATTAAGTTACGTTAATTCCTGTAATGCTGTACACATGAATTACATCAAATTCTTACGTTGGTTTTAATTAAACTAAAAGTCCTCGCTATGAATTCCTCGGTAGGTATTTTGTCTATCTTATAGTGCATTACTTACGATCCTAATTTAATCTAGTTCACACGGGACCGGACGAATTTTGTGCCATACTCGAATTCATCAGGTTTCTGCTCATATTAATAAATGTTCAAATCCTTAGTGTTTAAGGTGCTTCGGGCAACAACTCTATAGGTGTAGATGTTCATTAAAAAGTACAGCAAATAATATATATTAATTGTGTGTAAGGTAGGCGGGCCGAACAGTACATTTAAAGCGATATGGCCGTCTGTAGTTTGAACGCTGGGGATTATTCAAACATCAGGGATTGTAATCCTCATTTTGACATTTATGACAACAATGTTCAAACTCGAAGTGGCGAGATCGTTTAGGAAACGCACAAACCTTGCTATTTTCACAACTAAGTGTACTAATATTAAAAAATGACAGCGGCAATCGGTATAAAGTCAATGATTTACGTAGGATTTTAAAGAGATTGATCTCAGGTTAGTTCCGTAGTTAATATAGCAGTTCGTATCCCTCCGGAGAAGCTTTTTCAGCGTGATTTCAAATACCCGACCTGCTAAAGTAAGAGCTGTAATGGCGGTGAACCACGATTTAATGGCGGTTGAACCACGTTTGATTAAGAAGGCACCACCAACAGCGAGTTCTAACAATGCACGTTTGAATATTTGTGTTCAAAAGTGCTTGAACCAAGGTCGAGTTTATTTATCGCATTTTGGTACCGTCAAGTTCGAAGCGACATTGGGCATACCTTATACCTTGACAGCGACATACCCTGTTTTTCTGTGCTAAGACCATGTTTTTCTTTGCTAATTTCTTCGCCATACCGTTGACAAACATTTTTAATGCATCATTCGGACTCAAAGTCTTCCCGAATTTCTGGAAAGAATTCTATTTAGCGCCAATACTAAAAGTTGAACCAAGTACTGAATTTGATGAAATAAGACCTATTGCTCTTACTAGTATACAACTCGAAAATACAAGAATCGTTTGTGGTTGGTTATAGATATATAACGATATAGAGGCTTCAGTGTGTAAAAATCAGTATGGTCGTCTGCCACGTTCGTCAGCAATCCTTGCACTTGTTCATCTTCTGCATAAATGGAATACAGCATTAGAGCTGCCACAACGAGTAATAAGAATTGTATTTTTGGACTTCCGTAAAGCGTTTGATCTAATTGACCATAATGTTTTATTGGATGAGTGTTGCGATATTGGGGTACGTCCTGGACTTGTTAGTTGGCTTGGTTCATTTTAAGCGATAGGATGCAAATAACAAGGTTTGGTAATCAACTTTCTTCATGTTGTTCGATCAATGGAGGAGTGCCCCAGCCTCAGCCCCCAAGGTAATCGCCTTGGCCCAATAGCATTCATCGCCTTTATTAATGGTTTGCAAACTGTGGTTAATCGTTCTAATAACAATTCCACCGATATGAACGTCTGTACCAACGACAATGGCAATGATGTAGACCTCACCCTTTTTATGGACGATGAGTGATGATACAACACTTTCGGATATCGGAAGTCACTAACGTCAGTTCCGTAAGAACAAGACATTAATTCGTGCACTCTTATACAATGATACAACCTTGAAAAGGGTCTCTTCGTTTAAATTACTTGGTTTATTGATATAGATGACAATCTTAAGTGGGGGACAAATACAGACTATATTGTAGGAAAAGCATTAAAGCGACTTTTCCTACTAACGATATGAAAAGATTGTATATTTCTGCGATCCGACCCAAACTTGAATAGTGGGGCACAAGTATGGCATGGGGGTCTAACAATAGCAGAGACTAACAGAATCGAAAAGCTACAAATAGAGTATTAAGGATAATTTACTCTGAAAAAGACTATGATAGTGTATTGTCAAAACCTGGGATGAAATCACTTCAAGAATGTCGAATTGCGATGTGCATTGATCTAATACATAATATGTCAAGCCCACAACACAAGTTGCACCATCTCCTCCCAAATAAACTCTCCCAGACAAGGCAAAGAAGTCACACCTTGACTTTGTCCGAGCTAAAATTAGGGCATGCGATAACTATGACAGCTAGACCAAAGATGGTCCATATGTTGGGTGAAATAGAACCTTTTAGAACATATACCCCATTAACCGCAAATTTATAACCTGCGCATAAATTTTTTATTTACTGGCTGCCGTTAGCCAACTCGAAGTTCTGATTAGCTGAAAATGCATGCAATTATGCTGTGAATAATTATGGTAATGCATGCGTAATTAGATATGCGTGAGACAAAAATTTCTTACCTGAGTGCTCCTACTGTTTATTCCCTATAATGTGCTACGACATTGTGATTGGCTGAGAGGTTTCACGATAGTCCAGTAAAACTAATGACTTTGCATGTCAAAGTCTTCAAAACAAACAACATTGACCAAACTCGAAGTCGCGAAATCGTTCAGGAGACGCACAATCCTTGCTAATTTCACTATACTGATATTACAAAATGACAGCGCCAATCTGTATAATGTCAACGATTTACGAAGGATTTTCGAAAGCTTGATCACGGATTAGGTATATGAATTTAATAATTATAGTTTATTAGGTGCATGGGCTTTGTATAATGTTGGGTTTGAATAGCAGTTCAGATTCGCTTAGGAGGGGCTTTGACTTTGTTTTGTGATTTCAAAACCAATGCTTTCGTGAATATTTTTAACATTCCCGACCTTCAGTAGGCTTTACTGTTAAATTATAAAGAGGTGCAGCGGGGTTAGTTTATATCTTTATTTGACTTCGTTTGGCCGGGAGTTCATTAAGAAAGGCATGTATGTACAATTAACATGCAGCAGTACGTTGGGGACTGCGGTGAAATCTTCGTGTTCCTAAATTGAAGCTTATACAGGGTGTCCCAAAAAAA